CGCGTCTCAGAGATTATGTCTGATGTATCTTCTAACCTCAAGGCCACCACACCCTGAAAAGTGTGTCAAAGATGATCTAAGGGCTGAGTTGCACACTGCCCCTGCCACATCTCCCGTATTCCTCCACTGTGAGAGCTGCTGGCACATTTGCTGTTTCTGCCTTTCTCCAAACCAGCCAAATCCAACAGGTCACAACCAGCCAGTAAGTAATCCTCAAACCCGCATAGTACAGCATCCAAAAGGCGGCCACTCTCCTTACCTTCCTCAGAGGTGACTCTAAAAGAAGGGAGATTCCCGTGGGTCCATGTATCTCAGAAGGCATTTGATCCTCCTCACACACAAATTCAAACATTGATGGCATGTCTGTACCCTCCAGTTCCCTCCGCTTTCAAGTGGATCCAGCTCCATCTTGAAACAATTTCCCCAGCTTGCCTCAATTGCCAGCGTCCGCTCCATTGCCTGGGCCAGAGCCCGCCTCCACCTTGTGCCAAGCCTGGTTTCATTTATGTCAAAACAGCTTCCATCAAAATAGTGGGCTTCTTTTCTGAATTTATTTCACAGTTTTGAAACCAGCAGAGAAAAGATATTCAAGAAATTGCAAAAATGACTATCCCCATCAACATGTTCTGGCTAAGGTCACGCACTGTTCTCCTGAATCTCTTCTCTGCAGTGGATGGAGCATTTTTGAAGATCTGATTTTCTCTTTCTTTTCAGAGGCTCTGTGGCAGGCAGGCAGGCTGGCTGGGCCGGCAAGTCCCCTAATCTATGATGGCTCATGCAGACTGGCTTGCTAAGTTCTGTGACTTTCCACCCCAAGCAAAGGACACAGTCCTTAGAAGCCAAGCTTCTTGGATATTTTCCCTGTTGTTCGTCTGTCTTCACGATCCTTTCGAATTTTTCCTCTTGGTTTATAGGACTTTGATTACAAGAAAACTAAACCAACAGAACGCTGGCCTAAAAAAACGGATGAGCCATGTCTTTATGGATGTTGACAGACCAACTTTTAAGTCTTGGATTCTGATCAGTGCACTCTTCATGGGTCTGTTGACAGCTGGAACTGTGATGGGTTCAATCTCTCTGCGACCCCTGGTTCTTAGTTATATTCAGACAGGAAAATGCACAGGCATTTGAATTTATCTACTGGGATTTAATTTAAAAATAATAGTAAGTGAAGCATTAAGGAAACCCTAAACTGTTGGATGCACAAACACAAATGATGAAAATGCAAAGCTTGCTTTTAATGATATGTTTATTTTAGAAGTTCCAAAAACTAATGTGGGTTTTATAAAAGACACAGGGGGGGAGGTCCAATATTAACTATAGTAACTATAGTCTGTGTACTGTGTTAACTGCACACACACATCAGCTCATTTCAATCTAAAACAACCCTACCAAGGTAGAATTTATAATCTGTCTTTTAAAGGTAAGAAAACTGAGGTTTAAAGAGATTAACTTGCCCAAGGTCAGAAAGCTGAAAACGGTAGAGCTGGGATTCAACTCTGCCTCTGTCCGATTCCCCAAAAAACCCTTACCATGACCTTAGGATTCCTTGTGGCAAAGTCGCATCCTAATGCTGCTCATCAGGACCAGGTTTGGATAAGGAAAAGGGTTGCAGCTTCAAACAACCCAAGGAGGACTTGTCCCACTTTAACTTTTAACTTGCTAAAGGATTGCATTTTAAGTGTTTTTTTTTTTTGGAGACAGAGTTTCACTCTTGCCCAGGCTGGAGTGCAATGGCACGATCCAGGCTCACTGCAACCTCTGCCTGCCTCCTGGGTTCAAGTGATTCTCCTGCCTCAGTCTCCCGAGTAGCTGGGATTATAGGTGTGTGTGCCACCATGCCTGGCTCATTTTTTGTATTTTTTAGTAGAGATGGGGTTTCGACATGTTGGTCAGGCTGGTCTTGAACTCCTGACCTCAGGTGATCCCCCTGGCCTCCCAAAGTGCTAGGATTACAGGGGTGAGCCACTGTGCCTGGCCAAAGTTTCCATTTTTAAAGCAGCTCCAGAAAAGCCCCAGCTCTTACAGCCGGCAACCTTTGGTATGCAAATGCAGGCCATTAGAAACTGGGTCCACCCAAACATGGCCATTCTCACTGTTGTCTTCTTGCCCTTCCTCCATATGTGCCTGGCAACATGGTCACCCCCACATATCCCCACGTGTGTAGAACATCATGGTGCCCTGTATTTGCATATTAAAAGGATAGGGTGGGAGGGCTAGAGTTTTTGCAGGTTAGGTAAATGACACGTCTGGTCAAACCAATCCCGTGTCCTATGCAAATCAGACACTGCCTCCTCCAGCCTCTACATATACCTAGCTGGTTTCCACCCCACTTGGGGGTCTCCTCCTTTGGCTTTGGAGCTCCCCGCCCCCCCCCGTATGGGGGAGCCTCTTCCTTCTGCCTTTTCTTTCTTATTAAACTCTCCGCCACGCCTTAAAACCACTCCACGTGTGTCCGTGTCTTTTTATCTAATTTGACTGGAGAGGAAGAACCTGGTGTTCCTCCACTCATCCGAGCCCTATCAGTATTCGGTTGGTGCCATTAAAAGGGCAAAAACCGGCCGGGCACGGTGGCTCACGCCTGTAATCCCAGCACTTCGGGAGGCTGAGGTGGGCGGATCACAAGGTCAGGAGATCCAGACCATCCTGGCTAACATGGTGAAACCCCGTCTCTACTACAAATACAAAAAACTAGCCGGGCGCGGTGGCGGGCGCCTGTAGTACCAGCTACTCGGGAGGCTGAGGCAGGAGAATGGCGTGAACCCGGGAGGCGGAGCTTGCAGTGAGCGGAGATCGGGCCACTGCACTCCAGACTGGGTGACAGAGCAAGACTCCACCTCACAAAAAAAAAAAAAAAAAAAAAAGCAAAAACGGCAATTAGTGTTGTATCAACCAAATATTTCTCAAAAAGGAGATGGTGGGAAGTAACAGTCGTCAAAACAGACTGATCAGGAATGGACAGGACTCAGCTAATCTGGATGTAAAAGAAGATGGTGGAGGCATATTTGGGAAGCCAGGTTGGATGAAAGGCATCCACGAAAATTTCTGTTCAATCTGTGGGCTGGCAGTGGGGGAAAAAAAACAACAAAAAAAAGGGCCCCTTCCAGTTGGGACTCTCTGTCCCGAATACCTAAAGAGCTTTGTCCAAATTCATCTGAATATTAACTATCTGGTGCAAGATTATCCTTTGTTCAGGTCTCAGCACTGCCATTTGGGCCCTTGGGCAAGCCATGCAATTTCAGAGATGAGTCCCTCAGGCTCATCTACCTACAGGAGGCTTCAATGGGATAATGGACTCAGATGGCGGGTTTCCCACCTGCCACACAGTAAATACCAATTACCGTAAGTTCGTTTCTCGATCAGAAACGTTCTGAGTAATCATAGGTCAACTAGTTAAACTTGTCTGCTGTGACTGTCCAGGCTGGAAGCCCTGAAAGGTGAACTCACACAGGGGGGTGGGTCCAAACAGATTCTGTGTTAGGAATGGGACAAAAGGAATTGTAGCCCTGTCTGGAAAAAAAAAGGATCTCTGGAAAAATCAAGTTCATATGAACAGGCAGAGAGTCAGAAATGGACTCTAAAACTCGAGGGCTGGAAAGCTGGGGCAAATGTACCTTAGAGGCTGGGGCAAATGTACCTTAGAGGCAGAGCCCCTGGTGGCCCCTTGAGGCAAAGAGTTACTGTGAGGGTTGGATGGGCCTAAGTCATGGCACTGAGAAGGATGGGGGTGTATGTGGGCGTGCCTGGGTGCTGGACTTTGGAGGATTGAGCTAGTGTAGACCCTAAGCATAGAGTGGGGCTAATTGCAAGCCACGCTCTTCTGCCAGAGAGAGATGAGACAGATGTTTTTCAAAATACAGACCAATGTTGGACTTTCGTTTTGCTTCCCGGTCCATCAGCCAGAGTCTGACTCTCAACTCCCAGGGCAACTGAACGCCTTCTGGCCTGACCTGAACTCCGAGGATGATCCCAGAGGTCCTGGAACTGCCCCAAGACTCAAGGTGGAGCCTGGGAGGCTGCCCATCCCAGCGAGGCTGCGGGATCAGCTGGCCCCAAATATTCTGTAAAACATGCAGGCTAGGCTGCTCCCACAAACACAAGCAACTGCCACGAATAAATCAGATACATGTGTGTGCGTGCACAGCCCCCGCCTCTCCCAGCATCTACCCTGTTCTGGCCTACAGGTCAGAACAGCTGCTTTCTTATCTTCCCTCCATTTGTCACAAGTATTTGGGCAAAAGCCCTTCCTTTTGGCTCATCTGCCTCCTTTAAAAGGAAAAAATCGAGGTTTTCCCTTTCCTGAGGCAGGAGTTTCAAAAGCTCGGTCGTGGTAATATTAAATGTTTAAACATACTATAATGCCATTAGTCAGTCAATATTGTGATGGTTTTGAAATGTTAAGAGAAGGTCTGTGCAGACATAAAACTCCAGCTCTGGGAGAAAATGCCCACAGCATGAATAGCTGGGGCCTCTGCTCTTGTCTGGCCTAACTTCAGAGGTACGAGCAGGTATGGGCTTTTGAGCCACAAACGTGTTTTAGAGTACTAGGAACTCACTTCATTACCAAGTGTTCTCAGCAGGAAATAGGAGGCAGACGGCACACACTAGACTTGGAACCCTCCTATTTAGAGAAAACGGAAAGCATCCAAAAGCAAAATCAAAGCCAGGGGCTGCGTGGAAAAACAAACACCGAGAAAAATTATTTCTTGAACTTCACACCAGGAAGAGTGTGATCTGGAAGAATCTGGAAGCGGACAGAAACAACAGCATTTGAACAGAGGAGTTCCCCAAACCTCTGGGTGAGGTAGGGAGGAAACCTTGGTAAGACTTTTCCCTTGTGGCACTGTTCCCTTGAGACTCACAGATCCTTTTCACAGATACAGGGGCATCCCAACTTGTTCTAGCTCCCCAGGCTGGGGTGCAAACCACACTCCTTTTCCATGCAGATTGGAGCTTTAATGCGAGTGGCAGCAGTCCCGGTTCAGGACTTGAGATACACAATTCACCAGATGCTTAACGGGCTTAAAATAGGTTCCAGGGGAGGTCCAGGACACTGCACTGCCAAGGACAGAGCACCACTCAACCACAGGGTTCTTGCTGTTGTTAACACTTCACACCCTGACTCTCTGCAGACATTTCCTCCTGAGACACTCGTTGCAGCTCTCTGAGACAAGCTCTTCCGGCCTGCTGGGAGTGTCAGGTGAGATTTATTTATTTTCCCTCCCTGTCCAACTTCCCCAAGGAGTTCCATGTTGGCACCACCTGTTCTCAAAAGGGATGGCCTCCAGGTACTCTGGCTTTGAGCAAAAAGAGAGGAGTTAAAAAAGACTGCTAAAAGTCAGAAATGACTTAAAGGAAAGAGAAGATACACACGCAGATCTGTGGAAAATGTCAACACTGTTTCTTAGAGAAGAGGTGAAAAGGGGGGTTCTTTAAATCATCAGGCACAAAGTTTACAAGGTCCAATTTCATTGGGAACATCTTCAAAAAACAAATGTGTGACTAAGTCCAAAGGCCCCTTACAAGGCCCTTTCATATGGCTGCAGTTCCAAATCAAAGACTATTGATACCATGTCTAAAGAAAATTTGTTTTTAAAATGTAGACGACCCAATTCTCTCTCTACCTGGAGCCAGGGTGGTGGGAGGGAAAGGGAAAAAAAGCAACTGAGACTAGGCTGGGTGGTTCATGCCGGTAATCCCAGAATCTGGGAGGCCAAGGTGGGCGCAGCCTAGCCAACACAGTGAAACCTCGTCTCTACTAAAAATACAAAAATTAGCTGGGCGTGGTGGTGGATGCCTATAATCCCAGCTAGTCAGGAGGCTGAGGCAGGAGAATCCCTTGGACCCGGAGGCAGAGACAGGAGTGAGCCGAGATTGCGCCACCACACTCCAGCCTGGGCAACAGAGCAAGACACTGTCTCACAAACAAACAAACAAAGCAACGGAGAGGAAGAACAAATAAGAAAAGTGAGCTTCCTTAGGCCATTCTTTTCTTAAATCTCAATAGGATCAATGAATGAAGCTGTACTGTATTTTATTTTTTGAGACAGGATTTCACTCTGTTGCCCAGGTTGGAGTATATGGTGTGATCACAGCTCACTGCAGCCTCGACCTCCTGAGCTCAAGGGATCCTCTCACTTCAGCCTCCCTAGTAGCTGGGACTATAGGTGCACACCATCATGCCTGGCTGATTTTTTGGGTTTTGGGGTTTTTTTTTTTTTTGTAGAGATGGAGTTTCGCCATGTTTCCCCAGCTGACCTCCAACTCCTGGTCTCAAAGTGAACTGCCTGCCTCGGCCTCCCAAAGTGCTGGGATTACAGTTTGCGCAAAGGAGTTGTATTTTAAATGCCCTGCCTCAGATTTCAAGGCAATGTAGATATCCCTCAGACAACACAAAATCCAACCATAGATCTTTTCCCTGCTTTGTGGGACATGAAGGCTGAATAAAGAAAACATACAACTCCCCCAGCCTGCATCCCCAAAAGGGGAATTCCTGATGAGGCAGGCAGTCAATAGCAGACCCAGAAGGGGGTCAGTCTTGTGCTGAGGAACAGATTTTCTCTGAAAAATTAAAGTGATGTTATAAAGAGAATATGGTTCAAAACTTGAGTGATGTCATTGGGCTCAGTGCTGATACAAAGCAATGAATAAATCAGTTGGTCCCTATACCCTCACAGAGTTCACAGTCAATGTGTAATTCATTAAAAGAATTATACAAATTGTTAACTAAAGTATACTTTATATAAAATATTACATAGCATAAAATATTACAGAAAATAGAATGTACAAAATATGTAATATAAATTTACATTATGTAAATTAAAAAACAACACTAATCATATGAAGAATGCTTCAACAAAAGCACGGGTTACTTCAGAAACTTATAAAAGGGGGACTGGCTTGCTTTGGGGGTAGATGTGTATAGCAAGATTTTCCTTAGGAAGTGGCAGTGGTTCGTGGTCCAGCAGGAGTTAGCTAAGCTGGGAGGAGGTGGAGGCACAGGATCTGGGTGGAGGAGAGAGGAGAGTGGGCTAGGACTATGAATTGTAACTCTGCCTCCAACTGGAAATAGAGTAGAAAGCATCTAGGTTGGCCGGGTGCAGTGGCTCATGCCTGTAATCCCAGCATTTTGGAAGGCTGAGGCAGCAGATCACCTGAGGTCAGGAGTTCGAGACCAGCCTGACCAACATGAAGAAATCCTATGTCTACTAAAAATACAAAATTAGCTGGGCGTGGTGGTGTATGCCTGTAATTCCAGCTACTCAGGAGGCCGAGGCAGAAGAATCTCTTGAACCTGGGGGGCGGAGGTTGTGGTGAGCCAAGATTGCACCATTGTACTCCAGACTGGGCAACAAGAGCGAAACTTCATCAAAAAGAAAGAAAGAAGGAAAGAAAGGAAGGAAAGAAAAGCAAGCAAGCAAGCATCTAAGTTGAATAGTATCCCTCCCCAAATTCCTGTCCACCTGGAACCTCAAAATGTAACCTTATTTGGAAACAGGGTCTTTGCAAATAGAATTAGTTAAGGATCAAGATAAGATCATCCTGGATTAGGGCAGCCCCTAAATCCACTGAGTGTGTGTGTTGATAAGAGAGAGAAAAGGACATGCAGAGATAGGAAAAGGTGATGTGAAGATGGAGGTGGAGACTGAGGGATGTGTCTACAAGCTGAGAAATGCCAGGAATGCCTCCAACCACTAGAAACTGAGAGAGAGGGATGGCCAAGTGGGTTTCTCCCTCAAAGCCTCCAGAAGGAACCAACCTTGCTGACCACTTGACTTCAGATTTCAAGTCTCTAGAACTGTCAGAGAAAACTTTGTTGGTTTAAGCCATCCAATTTGTGGTGGTTTGCTATGGCCATCCTAGAAAAGTAACACAGACCTTCTTCCTCGCTTTAGATTTTTCCAAGCTTTGCTGACCCTTGAACTTTCACAACAGGCCAGGCACAGTGGCTCATGCCTGCAATCCCAGCACTTTGAGAGGCTGAGGTGGGAAGATCTCCTGAGGTCAGGAGTTCGTGGCCAACATGGTGAAACCCTGTCTCTACTAACAGTACAAAAATTAGTTGAGAGTGGTAGTGCATGCCTGTAATCCCAGGTACTTGGGAGGCTGAGGCAGGAGAATCGCTTGAACCCGGGAGGAGGTTACAGTGAGCTGAGATCATGCCACTGCCCTCCAGCCTGGGCAACAGAGTGAGACTCTGTCTCAAAAACAAACGAACTTTCACAATAAGCGGTCTTGCACAACCCTAAGACCTGTTAAAAAAAAATACTACATGATTATATAACGAAGTCATTTTAAGTAAATATATTATTTTAGATACTCTATTAAAGTGCTTTGCTGGGAGCAGTGGCTCATGCCTGTAATCCCAGCAATTTGGGAGGCCGAGGCAGGTGGATCACAACGTCAGGAGTTCAAGACCAGCCTGGCCAATATGGTGAAACCCCCTGTTGCTACTAAAAGTACAAAAATTAGCCGGGCATGGTGCCATATGCTTGTAGTCCCAGCTACTGAGGAGACTAAGGCAGAAGAATCTCTTTAACCTGGGAGGTGGAAGTTGCAGAGCCGAGATCACGCCACTGCACTCCAGCCTGGGTGACAGTGAGACTCCATCTCAATCAATCAATCAATCAATCAATAAAGTGCTTTAAAGGCTGGGTGGCTCACCCCTGTAATCCCAGCATTTTGGGAGGCCAAGGCAGGAGGATTGCTTGAGGTCAGGAGTTTGAGAAGAGTCTGGGCTACAAAATGAGACCACCATCTATACAAAATATATTATTTAAAAAATTAACTGGGTGCTGTGGCATCCAGCTGCAGCACCAGCCACTCGGAAGGCTGAGGTGGGAGGATTGCTTGAGTCTAGGAGGTCAAGGCTGCAGTGAACTGTGATTGCACCACTGCTCTCCAGCCTGGGTGAGAGAGCAAGATCCTAAAATGGCGGGGGATGGAATACTTTAAAACTTGTCTTTAAAACCAATAATAAATAAAATGCAATACAGTCCTTAAAAATATCAAGATAAGCCAGGCGTGGTGGCTCACACCTGTAATCCCGGCACTTTGGGGAGGCTGAGGCAGGTGGATCACTTGAGGTCAGGAGTTCGAGACCAGCCTGGCCAACATGATGAAACCCCATCTCTACTAGACATACAACAATTAGCTGGACGTGGTGGTGGGCACCTGTAACCCCAGCTACTCAGGAGGCTGAGACAGGAGAATCGCTTGAACCCAGCAGGCAGAGGTTGCAGTGAGCTGAAATCACACCACTGTACTCCAGCCTGGGCAAAAGAGCGAGACTCCGTCTCAAAAAAAAAAAAGCAAACAAAAATATCAAGATAATTTCCTCTATTTCACAAATGATGTCTGCCACTTCATTTACTTCAGATTAATACGTAAGATGAAAGATGAGTTACTAAGATGTAAATATACATCACTTAAACATATTAAATGTGTACATTTTTAAAATTCAGAGAAAACTTATCTGTGTGTTATGACATGAATAATACAGAAGCCCTGCTGCTTTAATTCTTGGACATTTGTAAATTTTGCATTTAAATGGTACAGAATTTCTGGGTTTGTTTTTAAAATTATGATGTTTGGTGTCTAGGTGGCAAGATGGAAGAGATTTCCAGCTGTGACTTATAATCACACCGCCTCAATGTATATATTGCAAGGATGAATAGCCTTTACCTCAATAAACAGCAGTTAAATTGGACAGAACAACAAGAGATCACTCCTGTATAAACATTTTGATCGGATGACTCTAACTTGAAGGTCTGGTGGAGGTCATCTTGATGAGAACACAGAGAATCATCACTGTTATGCTCATTAATTTGAATCATCAGTGTCCATGAAACCTTTTGTCCTAACCAATGGTTCTCTTATGGGAATAATAAACCAAGAAGTTATGATACCAAGTTGGAGAAACCACTTAAGGCCACATAATGGGCAACCCCCTGGTCTCCAGAGGCTAGAGTTGATCACCTGAGGGATGAACTGGGTATCCAGGTCTTAACATCCACTGTTCTCCCACTTAGTACCGGCTTCGGATTCTCAGACCTTTCTGTTTCAGAGGGAAAATGTTTAAGCAATTATTTTCTGATTTTCAGTTAACACATGTGAAGTTGACTCGTTCATGTATGAATGTTACCCCGGTCAGCCCGGTAACACCCCAGGCACAGGTCTGTGGTGTGCAACCTCCTGCCCAAGGTGGGATCTTGTGCTAGATTAAATTCCTAGAGCTTGAACCACTGCATGATTGGCGATGTCCTCCTGGGGCAAGGAGCCAATAGGCATTAAGTGTGCTGTCATTTCAGTCGGTCTTCTCACTAAACACATTGCAGAGACTATTTTTTAAAAAGGTAAACAGAGCCGGGCATGGTGGCTCGTGCCCATAGTTCCAACTACTCAGGAGGCTGAGGTGGAAGGAACCCTTGAGCCCAGGAGTTCCAGGCTGGTGAAGATCATCTTGAGAACATAGAGAATCAGAACTGTTACGCTCCTCATTAATTTGACTCATCAGTGTCCCTTATACCTTTTGTCTTAACCAGCGATCTCCTATAGGTACTGTAAACCAAGATGTTACAGAAGTTTGAGGCTACAGTGAGATATGATTGTGTCACTGCACTTTAGCCTGGGTGACAGAGAAAGACCCCATCTCTAAAAAAAGAAATAAAAATGAAAGGCAAACAAACCCCATGGAGATGTCAAAGTCATCTATCCATGCTTCACGCAGGCTGCTAAAGGAACCTAAGCTTTGGGAGAAAATCAGTTTCCTCTTTGTCCTTTTTTTTTCTTTTGAGATGCAGTCTTGGTCTGTTGCCCAGGCTGGAGTGCAGTGGCGCAATCTTGGCTCACTGCCACCTCCGCCTCCCGGGTTCAAGCGATTCTTGTGCCTCAGCCTTCCGAATAGCTGGGACTATAGGCGTGCGCCACCACACCCAGCTAATTTTTGTATTTTTATTTTTATTTATTTATGTTTGTTTATTTTTGAGACAAGTCTTGCTCTGTCGCCCAGGCTGGAGTGCAGTGGCGAGATCTCAGCTCACTACAAGCTCCACCTCCCGAGTTCACGCCATTCTCCTGCCTCAGCCTCCCGAGGAGCTAAGACTACAGGCGCCCGCCACCACACCTGGCTAATTATTTGTATTTTTAGTAGAGATGGGGTTTCACCATGTTAGCCAGAATGGTCTTGATCTCCCGACTTCGTGATCTGCCCGCCTCGGCCTCCCAAAGTGCTGGGATTACAGGCGTGAACCACTGCGCCAGGCCCTTTTGTATTTTTAGTAGACACAGGGTTTCACTATATTGGCCATGCTGGTCTTGAACTCCTGACCTCGTGATCCACCTGCCCCAGCCTCCCAAAGTGCTGGGATTACAGGCGTGGGCCACCGTGCCCGGCCATGTCTTTATATCTTATGAAAGTCACTATTGGGAATAGTGTCACCATCATAATCTGACCACTGTAAGATTGTGCAGTATATGAGGCAGATGTGATCATTACCGGTGTTTAAGTGGTAAAACTCAGGAGTGGAGATGAAGAAGCTTCACTGAGCCTATCCAGACTTCTGGCCCAGGGCTCCTTCCTCCCCTTGTGGAGAGGGGCAAGAGACAGTGAAGCTGCTATTTTAGGAATTAGCTGGCCTCTGGCCAGAAGATCTTCCAGATTTCTCCCTGTGCCACAAGAAGGGCATGGTGTTCACTGGGGAGCGGGCTGGGATAGACCCAGCAGCATATCAGACAGAAGGCAGGTTTGGAAGCTTGGCAAACCTGGGTCTGAATCCATGTCCTGTCCCTTACCAGTGGAGTGACCTTAAGCAAATTATGTATTTTCTTCTTTTATGATGTATGATTCATCGCATGTTATTTCTTTCCCCAGCTTTATTAAGGGACAATTAATTTATAAAATGTATTTTTAAAAATTAAACATTTTCTTTTGTTTTGGAGATGGAGTCTTGCTGTGTCACCCAGGCTGGGGTGCACTGGCACGACCTCGGCTCACTGCAACCTCCGCCTCCCGGGTTCGAGCGATTCTCCTGCCTCAGCCTCCTGAGTAGCGGGGATTACAGGCGCGCACCACCACACCCAGCTAATTTTTGTATTTTTAGTAGAGACAGGGTCTCACCATGTTGGTCAGGCTGGTCTAGAACTCCTGACCTCGTGATCCACCCATCTCCCTCTCAGGTGCTGGGATTACAGCCATGAGCCACCGCATCCGGCCTCGTTTTTTAAGTAGAGATGAGGTCTCAATATATTGGCCAGGTTGGTCTTGAATTTTTGGCCTCAAGCAATCCTCCTGCCTCTGCCTACCGAAGTGCTAGGATTGCAAGCATGAGCCCCTGAGCCTGGCACAGGGATAACTGATAAAGACTGTATACATTACAGTGTACAATGTGATGTTTTGATGCATGTAAACACTGTGAAATGATTAAATCAAGCTAATTAACCCATTCATCACCTCACATACTTCTAATTTTTTGAGAGAGAACATTTCAGACCTATTTTAATTTTCAAGAATACAATACATTCTTAGCTACAGTCATCAGGCTATACTATCAATCTCCAGAACTTAATCAACCTAACTGAAACTTTGTACTTTCTGACCAACATCTCCCCATGCCCCTCCACTCCCCACCCAGGCCCTGGCAACCTCCACTCTCCTCTCTGCTTCTATGAGTTCAACTTTTTTAGATTCCACATATAAGTGTGCTTGTGTGGTATTTGCCCTTCTGTGTCTGGCTTATTTCACTTAGCATAATGTCATCTAGGTTCATCTACGTTACAAATGGCAGGATTTCATTTTTTTTTTAAAGGCTGAATAGATTTTATTCCATTGTGCATATATATCACATTTTATTTATCCAGTCATCCACTGACGGACACGTAGGTCAATTCCACACCTTGGCTATTGTGAATGCTGCTGCAATGAACGTGGGAATGCAGGTATCTCTTCTACACATTGATTTCACTTCCAATTTGTTGGATTACAATTGTTTTAGTAGTCTATTATTCTTTGTATTTCTGTGATATCTGGTGTAATATCTCCTCTTTCATTATAATTTTGAGTCTCCTCTCAATGTTTAGGTAGTCTGAACTTTATCTTTTCAAAAAAACCCAAATCTTAGTTTCATTGATATTTTCTGTTGTTTTTCTATTGTTTTACTTCTATTGTTTTTCACCCTACATTGGTGCACCGAAACATACAAAGCAAATATTAACAGAAGAAAGAAATAAGCAGCAATATAGTAGGAGACTTCAATACCCCACTTTCAACAATGCACAGATCATTCTGACAAAATCCGTAAGGAAACAGTGGACTTGAACAGTACTATAGAGCAATGGACCTAACAGACAAATATCCAGAACATTCCATCCAACAGCGGCAGAATGCACAGTTTTTTCATGTGCACATGGGACATTCTCCAGAATAGGTATGTCGGGCTACAAAGGAAGTCTTAACCATTTATGAAGACTGAAGTCACATCCAACCACAATGGCTTAAAACTACAAATAATAGGAAGAAAATGGGAAAACTCACAAATATGTGGAAATGAATACATTCCTGAACAATCGATAGGTCAAAGAAAGAATTAAAAGGGAAATTGTTAAAATATCTTGAGAAAAATGAAAATGGAAACCCAACATACCCAAACTTAGACACAGCAAAAGCAGTTCTAATAGGGAAGTTTATAGCAATAAATGCCTACATTAAAATACAGGTTGCAAATAAACAACCTAACTTTTGATCTGAAAGAACTGGGGGTGGGGGAAGAAAGAAAGAAAAGAACAGAGCCCAAAGTTAGCAGAAGGAAGAAAATCATAAAGATCAGGGAAAGATAAATGAGAGACTAGAAAACAACACAAAGTGCCGGGCACAGTGGCTGACACCTGTAATGGCAGCAATTTGGGAGACTGAGGCGGGGCAGATCACCTGAGGTCAGGAGTTCAAGGCCAGCCTGGCCAGCCTGGCCAGCATGGTAAAACCCCATCTCTACTAAAAATACAAAAATTAGCTGGGCGTGGTGGTACATGCCTGTAATCCCTGCTACCCAGGAGGCTGAGGCAGGAGAGTTGCTGAAATCTGGGAGGCGGAGGATGCAGTGAGCCGAGATTATGCCACTGCGCTCCAGCCTGGGAGACAGCGCAAGACCAACCGCCATCCTCCTTTTCTTGCCAACCTTCTAATCTAGCATTCTAGAGGGTCACATGTGAATCATCCCAATGTCAGTGCGTAGGCTCAACTAGAAAGAAGCCTGTTTCAAAAAAGAAAGACGGGAAGTTTTCAAAAACATGTGTATCCCATTCTCGGCTCCTTGGTCCGTTTCTTCCCAGCTCCTAGAGACAAGTCCTCTCTAGAAGTTCCACAGGGCACGGGGCTTGGGGATCCTCCAGTGCCCAACCCCCTAGGCATATAATTACACTCAATTTGGCACTTGAGAGAAAACTTTCTCAAATTGTTCCCTAGTGGTTTTTTGTTTTTGTTTTTTTTGAGATGTAGCCTCTCTCTGTCGCTCAGGCTGGAGTGCAATGGCGCGATCATGGCTCACTGCAACTTTCACCTCCTGGATTCAAACAATTCTCCTGCCCCAGCTTCCCGAGTAGCTGGGATTACAGGCAAGGCACACACCACCAAGCCCGGTTTTTTGTTTGTTTGTTTTTTGTTTTGTTTTTTTTTTGTATTTTTAGTAGAGATGGGGTTTCACCATGTTAGCCAGGATAGTCTCGATCTCCTGACCTTGTGATCCACCTGCCTCGGCCTCCCAAAGTGCTGGGATTACAGGTGTGAGCCACTGGGCCCGGTCCCCCTAGTGGCTTTTATGGGAACATAATGTCAAACAAGACTGTACACCTTGAAGAGGGTTCATAGTCCTTTTGTAACTTTGTGTCCCTGACTCTTCCAAAGCCAATGCATTTAATAATATAATTAAACCTTTTACTCTCTGCACTGAGCAGTAGTAATGAGGAATGGTAGAAAAATGCAGGGCATCAACCACAACAACAAATTGGCAATGCTATTCGAACCATAAGAAAATTTTACAAAAACACATTTAGACATGGAGACACGTTTTCTA